TTTTTTATTTTTTTTTTATTTAGAAATAACAGAGGTATTTTCTGTTCAAAATGCTGATTTTTGAGTGATGTGAACCAAAGAAAAATCTGCAAAATTTTCAATGAAAATATGTCTAAAAGTTTACGAGTATACTTTGAAATGTGAGAGGATATTTAGAAACTTTGGACTTGGTCACAAAATACGTCGAGTTATCTAGGGATTTTCAGAGAAGAGGGGGCTCTCAGTCTGCGTTACGCCGCGTTACAAAGAGAGAGAGACAGTTAAGTACAACGTTTCGTAACCTTTCGAGCGTTCTAAAAAAATGGGAATGTCAATTGAGAACATTACTGAATTAAATCATCATAATCTTTCACGTAACGTTATTTTTTCACTATATTTTATTGAAATCTGAAGCAAAACGCCCCGGATTTTATTAATTATCCAACTCTTTTCTTTTGGGGAATAATGGGAGGGGGTCCGCCATCGTTACGTAATGGAGATGTTGCATGTGTGAGGAATTTGCGATTTGACTTTTGATTCTTATGTAAAAGTTTGCGAGAAACACGATGGTCCCACTGGTTTTCCCTGAAATCAACTCCCAAGCTCAAAAAAAGCTCTCAAGTTGAGCCCAAAATGGAGGGGATATCCCACCCTACCCTTAGAGTCCACGTCGACATCAAGACAAACTCTCCACGCAAAGATAGGGAGCAAATACATTGACAGGGCTGCCACTTTATTTGGGGACTCTAAAACTGAAAACACGGCAACCCTGCTAATGTACTTGCTCCCTATGTTTGCATGGTGAGTTTGTCTGGATGTAGAGGTGGACTCTGAGGAGAGCGTGGGATATCCCTCCATTTTGGCCTCAACTTGAGAGCTTTTTTGAGCTTGGGAGTTGATTTCAGAGAAAACCAGTGGCACCATCGTGTTTCGCGCAAACTTTTACATAAAAATCAACAGTCAAATCGCAAATTCCTCACACATGGAACATCTCCATTCAGAGGACATCCCGCGTCATACCAGCACGGGAGGGAGGGGGGGGGTTGGAAAACTGCATTATGTAATACAACTACGCTCTCCATACTGCCGTGCTTAAGAAGAACACCGTATAAGCCATCAGGCGTTGCCAAATCTCCTTCGATAAATTACGAATTTCCGAGAAAATTTTTAAATCTATCTCGTCCAATTTTTCAGAGAATTTCGTTCGTAATTTGATCTAAAAAGTCTGTAAATTTTAAGGAAAAATATTCCTAACTCTACATAAATAAATATTTGTTGAGAGGAAATTTGGCAACCTTCGAATGCTTATACTGCGTTTCTCCTTCGCACGGCAGTATAGGCCAGACGCACCGCACCCCGCTCTTTCTACAAGTAAATGAAGTCCTCGCTTTCAGAACGCCCTGTGCGCAAGAATATATTCCCATGTTGGACCCTAACAAAGCGTGAAGTTTCCTCACCTGTCGAACGCTCCAGAGATGGGAGTGTTTTGAAATTAATTTTCTGCAAAGAATAGATGAGGTTTTCCCCTTTTCACATCGGATGCTCCCGTGGCGAGGCGTGAATGATCGATTATCGGCATTTCTCCATTTGAAGCTGTGTTAAAGAATCGATTACCAAGCGAACACCCTGTGTATCGATTCTTTTCCATAATTTCAAATGGCAGATTAATCGATTTATTGCAAAGCACGCCACGCCATTGGGATGCTCGAAAGGGGAGGGTCTCATTTTCGCGATTGATCCCAGTATATTCTGACGGGCATTGCCCTCTCTGGGCAACTAAAACCTCGTAACTGCAATGGAAACATCATTACAATACGCGGTTACTGTTTTGCACGGTAGCGAGGAAGAAGCCATGGATTCGGAAGGAGGTGGGTATAAGTTATTTGCGTCATGTCCCGAGGTTGATAAACGAAATCATCGTTTCATGCTCGGATATATTGGTTTAATTGTTGCCAGGTTTTTCTCACTTCAGAAACACCGCTCCTGATCCGTCTCGTTAAAAGTTCGTTTCAAAATTGTATGAAAAGCATACTTTATCAGGGTGTCTAGCATCAGGAAAATCGGAAAAGCCGGAAAATATCAGGAATTTTGGCCGATCAGGAAAAAATCCGGAAACGGAAAAATCGGGCGTTTTATCAAGAATTTTTCTTACGTGAATCTCCTCAGCGGAGAAAGTCTTATTGCTTTTTGCCTACCGTGCCAGGAGTCGAGAAAAATCAGGATAATATCGGGAATTTTCAAAATGAAAAAATCAGGAATTTTTTATAAAATATCAGGATTTCTCAAAATTAAAAAATACTAGACACCCTGTCTATAATACAAAATCACAAGAGTAACGCATGAAGCAACGCTACCGTGCTAAGGAAGAACGCCGTATGAACATCCGAGAGTTGCCAAATTTCCTTCGGTAAAATGTTTATTTCTAAGGAAAGTTATGAATGTTTTTCCTTGGAATTTTCAGGAACTTTAGGTGAAATTGCGAAAAAAAATTATCTGAAAAATCGGAAGGAAAATATCCACACGTTCACCAGGGAATTCGTGTTTTATCAAAGGAAACTTGGCAACGCCTGAAGGTTCATACGACGTTCTTCGTCAGTACGGTAGAACGCCTGAGACGCAAAGTACTTCTGAGAGTTGGACCAGTGGCGTGGCGTGAATTGCGATCTATCGATTGTTATGCCATTTAAACCTATGGTGAAGAATCGATTATTAAGGTATTCACTGCGAACACCCTGTCTATCGATGCTTTTCCATAGGTTTTAATGGCATAACATATCGATGTATCGCAATTCATACCACGCCACTGAGTTGGACCGCGAAGCGGTTAGGATGATCGGTAAATTGGACTGAATAAACTGAATTTATTAGAAAGGAACCAAGTCGCTTTTTTTGGAGTGGTTTTGGGCTTAATTAACTAACAGATATACCAAAAATCACTCTAGTCTTGTTTCAGCACTCTTTTCAGTTTTCCTCTGCGTTAAATTTTTAAAAGAAGGCTCAAAAATTCTCATCCCTCTGAAAACTCGATTTTCCAAAAACGTTTTTTGCGATTTTTTTGTTAATCCTTCCCTCCCAAAAATTCTGCTGAAATACGAGTCTTCATATATATAGTCCATTTATAGTTTTTCGACCTCCATCCCCACCCTTTCGTGATATTTTCTAGGGTGTCTAGCATCAGGATTTTCCCGATTCTATTAGGATTTGAGGTTAATCAGGATTCAATCCCGATTTCATCAGGTTTTGAGGAAAAATCGGTCATAAAATCAGGATTTGAGAAAGGTCGGCTGTCCAATTGGATATTTTTATGCTGTCGCATACGCTTTTGCAGTAATTTTAGAAATTAAGATTTAGCAGTCAAAAATCAGGAAAAATTAGGATTTCATCAGGATTTTCCAAAATGAAAAAAAACCAGGCACCCTGTTTTTGTGCCGTGGGTATCTATCCACAAGTAAGAACAAATGGCGTAACTCTGTACCACTCTTACCCTAGAGCTTATAGTATAGATTCCATGAAGAGTTCTTGAAGTAACCGATTATATGACCCGCGTTTTGATTACAAGTGTCTAATTTTTTTGCGGATGGAGGAGGTTTAGTAAACCTTGGAAGTTGGAATGGCAACCAAGTCATTCAATGCAAAAAAGGCTCCGCCTTGTCGAGTCTAGTGGCGTGGAGTTCAAATGGAGCCCGCCGATTTTCGAGATTCTCAGTTGCCAGAGTTTTGCAAAAACTGGATTTTTCGCTGATTTCACCTTGATTTAAAGAAACATTGAGGTATCAAAAAACATTACCTTTTTTTAAAGAAACAAAATTGGAATGGAAAGGGATTGCGGTCTGTGAATTGGGAGCTCATTTCAGTCGGTAAAAAAAAGCGACAAGTTCTTAAAAAATCAGGGAAATATTTAGCAAGTCAGAGAATTTTGCCAACCGCTGAAAAATCAGGGAGTTTTGTCGCGAAACATTGAAAATTTGAATCTCTCAGTTTCAAGAGACCTCGCGTGCAAAATATTTTTGTGAAGCATTTACCGGTGAGAAATCATGCCAAAGAAGAAGAGAAAAAAGATTGAGGAGTCGGGGAATTTGTTTGTAAAAGTCCCTGAAGAGTCAGAGAATTTTGAAATCTCAATATCACTCATAATAATCTCTTTTGAGTGATCGCTGAAGATAAAAAGTTCACATGTAGCCGTCGTCCGTAGCGAAGTTAATGTCAAGAATGGTTCAGTTTCAGTTTCACGCATGCTAATTATTGTTGATGTGAAACATCAGGGAATTTAGACGATTTTCGTCTGGGGAAAAATCGAAAAGTCATGGAATTTTTTCCCTTCAAGTTTGCATACACTCTGAGAATTGAGTTTTTACTAATTCCAGGCATTTAGCGACCTTCCGAGTCTATTTTCAATTGAACGTATTTCTGCCGAACGGAACTATGTGCATCAAGACATGAGCCCTAAGAACCATAAGAATATATGCATAACAGGGTTAACGTCATGATAGTTCCGTTTGGCAGGTCCAATTGGACTGCATTTTGCAATTTGGAACTATAAATCCTGGCTCCTCTGGAAAACACCTATGTGCATAGGGAAACAAATGGCACATACGTTGTTTTTAAACCGGACTAAAATTTATAGTTTCAAATTGCAAAATGTAGTCCAATTCATGTATCATTGTATAAAACTGCAGGAAATTTTCATGTTAGATCTGATTGTTGAACTAGATTACATTTTGCGATTTGGAACTATAAATTCTAGCCCGGTTTAAAAACGACGTATTTGCCATTACATTCCCCATGCACATAGGTGTTTTTCCAGAAGAGCCAGAATTTATAGTTCCAAATTGCAAAATGCAGTCCAACTCGCCGCATAACTCGGCAACGTCGCAAGAGACTTAAGTGCCAAATTCCGACGGTGAGGGGAGGGGGAGGGGGTGGTACTTTTTGACGACAATGATAGTAATTGCGGACGGTAAATGTGTTGAAATGAAAAGGAGCGGAGTTTTGATTTCGGTGGTTTGCGTTGTGTGTTTCAGCACGGGCATCACATCAGACATGAGAGGGGGAGGCACAAGCGGCAGGAGCAAGGGCGGACGGGGGTGGGGACGGGGGCGGCGGCGGAGGAGCATTTCATAATTATAGACGGCGCGAACGAAATCGACAGCGAGAACTGGAGCCCTTGGAGCGCCCCCAGCCCTTGCTCCCGCTCCTGCGGCGGCGGCGTCTCTTATCAAACCCGGACCTGTCCCATCGTCAGGTACTGTATAGCTCCATCATTACTTTTTCTTCTTCTTCTTCTCCTTCTTCTCGATTTTCCTCCACTTTCTCTTCTCCTACGTCTTTTTCTTCTTCCTCATCCTCTTTTGCTCCTTCTTCCTCTTCTTATTCTTCTTCTGCCTCTTCTTTTTTCCCCTCCTCCGTTGGGCCCTCTTTTTCCTCCTCCACTTCTTATTCTTCCTCCTATTTTTCTCTTCTATTCTACCTCTTTTTCTTTCTCCTCCTTTTTCCCCTTCTCCTTTTTTCCTCCTCCTCTCCTTTTTTCTTCCCCTTCTCCTTTGTTTCCTTTTATCCTTTTTTCTGCCTCTTTTCCTCCTTCTCTTCTTCTTTGCCCTCCTCTTCTTTTTCTCTTTTCCTCTTCGTCTACCTTTTCTTTTTCTCCCCTATTCTTCTTCCTCTTTTTCTTCTACCAAATTTTCCTTTGCTCCTTTTTCTTCCTCTTCCGTTGCGCCCTCTTCTTCCTCCTCCTCTTCATTTCCTTCCTCTCATTTTTTTCTTTTGTTCTTCCTTTTTTTCTTTCTCCTCCTCCTCCTTCTCGTTTGCTCCTTCTTCCCCTTCTCCGGTTTTCCCCCTATTTTCCTTTTTTCTCCCCCTTCTCCTCGTGCCTTCTCTTCTCCTTTTTTTCCTTTTCTCCTTTTTTCTGCCTATTCTTCCTCCTCCTCTTCTTCTTCGCCTTCCTCTTCTTTTTCTCTTTTATTCTTCTTCCTCCTCCTCCTTTGCTCCTTCTTCCTCTTCCCTCGCGTCCTCCTCTTCTTTTCCTTCCTCCTCTTCTTCTTCTACCTCCTCTTCTTCTCCGTCCTCCTCTTCTTCTCCTTCCTCCTCTTCTTCTCCTTCCTTCTCTTCTTTTTCTCTTTTCTTCTTCCTCTTCCCCTTTCTTTTTTTCCTCCTCCTCCTTTGCTCCTTCCTCTTCCTCCTCTCCTTTTCTTGTTCTTCCGCTGCGCCTTCTTCTCCTCCTCCTCTTCTGCTCCTTCTTCTCCTCCTCTCCCTCTTCTTTTTCCTTTTCGTCTTCCAGTATTTCTCCTTTTTCTCCTCCTCATGTTCCTTAATTATTTGAATCCTATTTTTCATGTATTTTCGTCTCCTCGTGTGTTTTTTTTATACTTCCTTCTTACTTCTTCCTTTCCTTGTCTTTATCTTTGAATTTTCTGCTTTTCGCATTTTCCTTGCCTAATCTCTCCCCATCTGAACAAGTATACGAAGATTTTAAAGTGAAACAAAAAACGGTTTCTGCAATGTACTGTGCTCTTTTAAAGCAGGGCAGCTTAGCCTCTCAAAAACGCAGGAGAGCCTCTTAATCTCGCTCTCAACTCGCGACGCATGTGGAAAAATCGCCTTCAATAGAGTGTATATGCAGAACCACGACAGTTGTGTTCGAATAGTTATCGCTCAGATTTTTCGAAGGAGTCGTCTTGTTCCTGGAAAAGATATCATGCACGGATCGTTGTTTTTCGCCTCTCTTTTGCTCTTTTGACAGGGAAATTTCCCGAAGAAGATTTTTGCGCACATTTTATGGAAAAAAAATAATTAGATCAACGTGTTTTCGTTTTATAGAAAAAGGTGAATAAAAATTAATTAAATGAAAATAAAATGAATTAAAACGAATGTTTTTACGAAAGTAGTTACTGATGAATTTTTTATCTTTGCAGGCCCGATGGGAGGACAGGCTGCACTGGTGGATCCAAGAAATATTTTTCTTGCAACATACAGGTATTACTTTAATTTCTGAATCTCTATTAAAAGTTTAAAAATTAAGTGATAGTGAAGTGTAAATGAAGTGCTTAAGATATTATTAGCGTACCCTGGAACAAGATATAACTAAGTATTGTTTTTTAAAACTATCCGTCCTTTAAGTTTTTCTTTTTACTAGCAAATTCATACCTGAATTTATAGTGTACCAATAGTAAAATCTCAACTATTCTTGTTAATTGGTGCCAAGGCTGGGCCTCATGCCGAAACCAAGTGATAATTAAAATTTAGCATCAGATTATAGCACTAGAATGTAGTTGTAGAATAGTTACGCAAATCAACTTTAAGGTTCATGAAATATGAATTCAAGGGTCTTTGCCTCTTGGCTTTGGACAATTTTTGATTTCTTCCAAATTATGGCAGCCGCCTTTCCATTTACAAAATTTGTCATTCAAACTTTGGCTAAATTGAGAGTCTGCTGAAACATGTCCTTCTGGTTAGTTGCTATATTTAGCTGAATACCTTCTAAATAATACTAAACTGGATAATCAAGGCTCAGCTTTATTCTCTTTATCTACACAATCATATACTGAAAAATCTCATGAATACAAATTATCTACAGGATCAAAAAATATTTTCGATCCAATCTCTATTTTTATAATAATCTTTTACCGTTTTTTTTTTGACAGCCGTGTGAGAGTGGTGCACAGGACTTCCGTTTAGAACAATGTACTGCTTTCAATAATGTTGCTTTTGAGGGTGTATATTACAAGTGAGTATTTTTCCGTGTTCTCATTTTTTCCACCTGTCGTCTTCTATCACCATCCAGAAAAGTTCTACTATTTTATCAATTATTTCTAAGACAATTTTTTCACAATCAAACATTTTTTCATGAAACAATTTTTCTACAATTAAACATTCTTTCAATAAATTTCATAAAACCTCTAATACTGCTTTCTATCTCATACCTTCAGAACTGCATGGATTTGTTGTTTACCAGGAGCCGCTTTAGTTACAAGCCCCTTTTTATCGTTAGCATTCTCCTGGATGAGGCAGCATTGGACAAACATTCAAAAGTATTCAATCCTATTGATGAAATGTTGAAAGTTTTGAAGTAATCAGCAGAAAAGAACATGTACTTTAGCCCTCAGCTCCTAAATAATGTTTTGGTACAGGGTTTGGGGAATGGTAGAATTTGTCAATTATTTAATTGAGTAAGATTGGGAAGTGATGAAAATTTTCAAAACGCTATTTTGTTGGTTGACGAGGATAAATACATATTCCCTCCCTCCCTTTTTTTACTATCAGTAGCATTTTAGTTTTATTTGAATAACAGGGAAACACACATCTTCAAAAATAAAAACTTTCTTAGTCAAAGATAAAGTCTTCGTGAATGATAGACCCTTTATCATTTGACGAAGTTTCTGCCATCTTTATATTCTTGTCTCAAAAATAAGGCTGATAGATCTTCTGTCATGTTTTAGAAGTTTGCATACTAATTTGATCGATAACCATGCTTTCAATTTTAAAATTTCTAATTTTCAATAACCAGCGAATATAATTATTTCTGATGACTTTATTCTTTTTTCATTTCAGTTGGATTCCTTACACAAAAGCTCCAAACAAGTGCGAGCTTAACTGCATGCCAAGGGGCGAGAGATTTTACTATCGTCACAAGAATCAAGTGATCGATGGGACTCCTTGCGATGATGAAAATAATTCAGTGTGCGTTGAAGGACAATGTTATGTAGGTCCTCTTCTCTTTACCCTGAAATATATACAGGGTGTACCAAAAGTCCGTCCCACCCCTGCTAACTTTTGAACGAATTGAGCTGGGGAAATGAAACTTTGGGAATGTTTCTATCTCAAAGGGGACCATCTTTTAGGGGGGTCCAAATTTTTGTCCCCCCTCAGGGGGGGCGCGGGGGGCCCCCAACTTTTTTTTTTCAAATGGCAACCCCTATCTTGTGATACCTCATTCGAAAGAGCATAAAAAACTAAGAAGTTTGACGCAAACCGCAGATCAATATCTTAATTTTCGACCGAGTTATGCTAGGTCAAAGGTCAAATTTGACCTATTTTCGAAAAATCATAACTCCGGTTCAAATTATCGTAAAGAAAAAAATAAAACGGGAAAATTTACCAAATTGTGTCCGCTTTTAAGTAAAAATTGCAGAAATCACTTCGATTTAATTTTAAGGGGGGGTTCGGCCCCCCCGCAAATAGGTCAATTCGAGGGTCATTCAATTTTCCCGCGAAATAAGCCAATTTCCCCTAGATTTGCCTCCACATTATCTCAGTAGGTCGAAATCAGTTCAAAATTACGTTGGCAAGTCCTCAAATTTCGGGAAAAGTTAAAAAAAAAACGAAATTTAAGGTGATTAAATTTGACCATTTAAATTTCGTTTTTTTAAAACTTTTCCCGAAATTTGAGGACTTGCCAACGTAATTTTGAACTGATTTCGACCTACTGAGATAATGTGGAGGCAAATCTAGGGGAAATTGGCTTATTTCGCGGGAAAATTGAATGACCCTCGAATTGACCTATTTGCGGGGGGGCCGAACCCCCCCTTAAAATTAAATCGAAGTGATTTCTGCAATTTTTACTTAAAAGCGGACACAATTTGGTAAATTTTCCCGTTTTATTTTTTTCTTTACGATAATTTGAACCGGAGTTATGATTTTTCGAAAATAGGTCAAATTTGACCTTTGACCTAGCATAACTCGGTCGAAAATTAAGATATTGATCTGCGGTTTGCGTCAAAATTCTTAGTTTTTTATGCTCTTTCGAATGAAGTATCACAAGATAGGGGTTGCCATTTGAAAAAAAAAAGTTGGGGGCCCCCCGCGCCCCCCCTGAGGGGGGACAAAAATTTGGACCCCCCTAAAAGATGGTCCCCTTTGAGATAGAAACATTCCCAAAGTTTCATTTCCCCAGCTCAATTCGTTCAAAAGTTAGCAGGGGTGGGACGGACTTTTGGTACACCCTGTATTCATACTCTGAAATCTTGCTATATTTTAAAATCGCAGTTTATAAAACTGAAACAGAGGATTTTGATTTATTTTTAAATCTTTCGAAGTATTCCAAAAAAATCGATACCCTTGCTATCTTCTGGAGCGAAAACTGAGGATCGAGGGTCATTTATATCAGATTCAGTCTCAAAGTAAATCATGCAATGGAAATAGCTGATAATCAATAGTTGACTCAAATTATTCATGATTATACCCTAACTATCTCAACTCATTGCGAAATATTATACAGTCCATAAAATTTTTTTCATTTGTAAGGAACCTCATGAACTCAGACATATTTTACCCAAAATTGATCCTACTTTTCTTGTGAAGAGATTGTCTCGTCTCTTCCATATTTTTTATTCTTTTTTTTTATCATAGCGTGCGAAACGTTGGACATATATTGCATAAATGTTGTGTCATTATTGTTGTGAATACAAAACTATAAAATAGAGGTCAAACAGCCCTGTTGCGGGTAGTATGGCAATGCTGTGGCTACAATACCTCTCATTTAAGTATTTCTGTTTGCAGAAGTTTAGACTCTGCCATTGTCAGGCTCCTTTTTGTCCCCTGTGCATTTTCTAATTTTTCTCTTGTTTCCTATGTTTTAGCCAGTTGGTTGTGATAGGTACCTTGGTTCTCCTGCACGGGAGGACAAATGTCGGGTTTGTCGAGGAGACGGCAAAAGCTGCAGCACAACTCGTAATACCCTCGATACGAGTAATCTTGAAATGGGTAAGTTTGACTTATAATGGATTCTTGCTCAAGCAGGATAAGGTATTAAAACTGTGACTAGTGGTTTCAGAGAAATTTTTTTTCGCAGATCATGGTGACCAGCATTTTGAATGGCATGCTTTCATCTTGCTGCTGTCCAGACATTGGTTCCAAGGAACAAATTCTAGAGCACTAGTTACATATGTATCCTAACAGGAACCGTTAGCATTGTGGTGATCAATGATAGATATCATGGTTTGAAATGTTCAAATTCAGTCGTTATTTTTAGGGTTTCCTGGCCTATCAAGAACGATTCTGCACAAATGTGATGGCAGTAAACACATTAATGAAGAGCATTTACAGTAAAAATCCATGAAACAAGGGATTCTATAGAAAATTAATTTTATCAATTTTGAGGTAATGCTTTAAAATGATACGGACAAGAATATGATAATGTAATAAAGAATACTAGTTGAAATTTATGCTCCCCACCTTACATAATTCCTCCCTGAAATTCAATAATTCCCCTGAAAATTTTCTTTGGATACAATATTACTTCTCGTTTGTTTTCAATGATTCCAGGTTATAATGATTTGCTGCTGATCCCAGCTGGTGCAACCAACATCCTGGTCCAAGAAGTTAGACCATCAAATAACTACCTGGGTAGGTATGCATCAGTTTTATTATCTATTATTTTATCCTTAAACTCTATACTCTTTTTTAATTTTTTTTTTCCTGTGAAGAGAAATTTCCTCTTTTTTCCATAATTTTGAAAAAAAGAAGGCATTTTAAAAGTTTCCCTTTCTCAATGAAACTGCAATTACACAAATCTCGGTTTGTAATGCTGCAGACTACCGGCCATAACTTATTTTCTGAGTCGAAAAGTCGTCATCTCTTGAAACATTACTTGATTTTTACTTATCGATGAAGAATGTTCTATGCAAATGTGCAGTTTCACTGTTGCTATGTTTCTGTTGAATATATTGTCATACAAGTTTTATTCCCCATCTTTTTTCTTCTGTTTCACTGGCAGGAAAAGAGTCGAGAGTTATGTTCACAAATTTTCCACACAGCTAACTAGCAAAATTAGTCTAACTATTCTTCATACGAATGACAAATTCTTAAATTTTCCTCATTTGTAGACTTTGATACTTAAGATTTTGCTAAGTTGTATGTACCCAGATTGCAGTTTTTTTAGTAAGCATGGAGAAGTCAGATGTCTTAATTGAATTTGCATCTATAAAGTACAACATATTTATCAAAAAAACAGAATCAATTTATCTCATTTTAACAGAATCAATTCAATTGGAGAAATTTCACCCCTGGCTGCCATCATTGAGCCTCATTTCTTGTATGTTTCAGCGGTTCGTAACACGTCAGGCCATTACTATCTAAATGGTAACTGGAGGATAGACTTTCCAAGAACCATACCCTGCGTCGGTACTAATCTTCACTATGAGAGGAAGCCCCATAATTTCTTCGCACCACAAAAAATATTTGCAGCTGGCCCAACAACAGAGGCAATTTACATAGTGGTATGTTTATTTGAGTTCAATATTTACTGGAAATTGACCCTAAAATAAAACTTGTCTGCTGAAAAAAATTATTCTATTTTTTTATTTAAGCCAAAAGATTTAATCTTAGCTCTCTAAAGATTAGTATATTTATTTTTTGTCGATTGAAGTTGTGTAATTTTTTTAAAGAACCATAGAAATAATAATTTTCCTTGCAAAATTCAAGTATTTTTCAATACTTTGTGTGCATTACACAATACTTTAAATACTTTCATCAGGATTTATTTAGCCCTCTTGCCATTCCGATTTTAATACAACTGCTTGCAGCTTTTTGTTAGTGCTTGATTAATAGATATTTGTTCACTATTAGCACCTGACATTATATCCACTCTAAGACCAAGAGCTTGCAAATACAGGTGACTGCACTAAAAAAATGTAGCTCGAATTTTTCACCCTTTTTAGGACGGTGTGACTTTTTTTATAAATGCATCTTTTCAATTTTCACAGTTATTATATCAAGAGCAGAGCCCTGGTATCGAATATGAATACAGTATTCCCACAGGGACTGTTGTTCAGACATCGCCCACTGGTTACAGATGGAACTATGATACATTCTCTCCTTGCTCAACAACTTGTGGCGGAGGTGAGGTATTTTATTTATCAGGTTGTCATCATTGCATATCATCTCTGTCAATTCATTTAAGACAGAAAACATATATGTGTATCACATCGTCTCAAAATTTCCGTCTCAAAGTCTTTGAGGAACTTTAGGTATACTTTTGCTTTAATCTATCAGCAGGGATAGAAAATTTGAAAAAATGAGGGAAAAAATCAAAACAAAAAATATCTGAAAAATAGAGTACTGCAGTAATACTCCAACTATCCGACCAGCAACTATCTGACACTTCAGATTTGTGACGATATAATAATCATTTATCTGACATTTTCAACATCAGACTTTTTCAATATCCAATGCAACCCTTGCCGCAAATTGTCAGATAATTGGGGTTTTACTGTACAAGAGGATATTATCAGAAAGTCTGGAATTTTTCTCTTACCGTATTTCTCATAATCTCAAAAGTTTTTTTGATCATGAGAAAGGAAGATCTTGCAATATTAGTCATAACTTTGAACCAGAAAACTGAAGCCCTTTAGATTGAAATATTGGAATTTTAGAGGCTCACAGCTCTGCTTCAAGAAGAGATTATTTTCTTAACTTTAATTTTCAATACTTATTTTACAATAAAAGTAGAAAAACATTAATTTGATGGATTTTTATGTCATTAATCTATGTTTTTGTATGACTAGGCTTTAAAACAAGGAATGTATGGTGTCAGTCCCTAAGAGACCCAACTCATGTCTCCGAAGATCTGTGTGACCCAGCCCAAGAGCCCTTGAGAAATCAGACTTGTAATTTAGAACCTTGTCCTCCAATTTGGCATGTCGGAAATTGGAGCGATTGTTCGACACTGTGTGGCACAGGCGGGAATCAAACTAGAGAGGTATGTGATTTGTTTGAATAAAAAAAATTGATGACACATTGTTTTAGGGATCACTAGCCAAGGTACGAATTTAAGCATAATGATGTATATATCCTCTTCAAAATTTCATCCTGAACACGATTTTTGCATAAAAAATTACTGAGATTAAGTTCTAACCTAGATATAATAAAAATATTAGCATCCGGCAAAAGCAAAAGAGGCAGGGAATAGTCGGGAAGTTAGGGCTGTTCTATCGATTGTTGGTAAGGTACCGAAACAATTCCGTTAAGAAACGGTTACGATAAGAACACTCTTACTGACAGCGATCTGAGTTTTTGGAGCTGACGAAAATAAGCTGTTGCCATGTGTACATCTATTTTACGCGCCGCGGCGCCAGGCAATCTGACAAGCCGGCACATGGGGCAACAATGCATTGAGTGCAAGCTCTCAAAATTCCTATAAGGCCCGCTGTTAACGATAACATTGCCACTGTTGGTACTGCCACCCGTATCAGTATAAGACGATACCGATAGCGCACCGGCAAGAATTCATTTGAACACTCCCATAGGATGTGCGAAAGCACGAAATTATGGAAACCCCAATATTAGAGAGAAATTTATTTAAGTAACTGCCTTTGCTCAAATTGTAATTTAACTTTGAGTGTATTTTTTAATGTTGATTTCTTTGTTTAGGTATTTTGTTCTCAAACAGTAGCAAAAGGGCAAGACGCTAAGATTGAAGATTCTCAGTGTGAACAATTAATAGGTCCAAAACCTGAAACAGCGCAATCCTGTAATGACACTTTACCGTGTCCGGAGTGGCACATAGGACCATGGAAACCGGTATGATTTTATGTTTCAAATTCAGCTCAATATTTTTTTAATTACGCCTTGATTTATTTTCCTTAAAAGTAGCTCTTTGTTTCTTTCAGCATGCCTTTCTTTTATTGCTACAGAGTTGCCTCAAAATATATCCCCCTGTTGTTTGAGTTAGATAATACATTGGTTTTTTTCTTCAACTGTAAATCTATTTTTGAATTCCATTTATTTTCCTGTGAAAATTTCTTTTTTTTCATGATTTTTCACTCAAAAGTGGTATGTATCACGCTAAATAAAAGAAAAAACTCAAAATTCTTTTTTCATCTTCTACTTCTTACATTTAATGATTTTAATTTTTAATGTCTAATTTTCTTCAATTTCAGCTCAGGGATGATCACTAATGCTCTGTATGAATGCTTGCAGAAAAGAAAAATGCTATAAAGAGTCTGTACAAAAATATTTTCATGTGTCGATTGATTAATGAATGAAACAAATATGAACAATGTATGCTCTTGAGGACATTTAGTTACTTTATTTATAATTTTTGTATGTTATTTTTCCTCTATTTTCAGTGCGACCATTTATGTGGAGAAGGAAAACAAATTCGAACTGTGCGGTGTTTCCGTAGGGTAGATGGTCGTATCCACATTGTTGGCGATTCAGCTTGTAAGCAAGAGAAACCGCCAGTAGAAAAACCTTGCAATTTGCGCTCCTGCGAAGGTGTTGACTGGGTCACATCTGAATGGACTGATGTGAGTTTTTCTTTCATTGTCGATCATTTAAATTTTGATTCAGCTGTTTGAATCCCTACCATGAAAGAGTGAAGAAAAAAATTGAGGCTTTTTCCTGCGCCATATTATGGTGTTGCCAGGCGATTGTTTTGTCGTGTTTTTTTTTTTTTATTTTTCTACTGATAGCGCCTCAAGTATTATTTTCAAAACCGTATAGTAGTGTTCTGTTGCCAACCTGAATGAATCCTAGTGATTTTTCCTTCTTATTTGGTGCAATGAAGTATTGTATTGAATATCATCATCATATTTCTAGGCGCGGCAGACAAATTAATCATTGCATGCAAATGGGTTAATACCTCTGCAAAATCTTCCGGGGCTAATTAAAAAAGAACTCTGTGAATGTTTTATGTTTTGTAACCCTTCCAACATTGGATGTCAATTTGATGTCATTCCAATTAGATGTTTTTAGCAGAAGAGATATATCTTTAAAAGTAGTTTATAGAAAGCAATGCACAGTAAATTAAAATGATTTAATAGTTATTAATGTTTTTAAAACTTTCCATCGCAAATAGATTTATTCTATGTAGTGACGCCTATGTAAGTCTATACTTACAGTTTGTCATTCCACTCCTATGCTGAAAAATGTTGATGGTTCAAAATATTTTTTGTCACTATGTAGTACACACGGTGTTGGTTTTTCAAGGACATTTTTTTAGCATAAGTAGAAGGAAAAGGCGTAATTAAGCAGTAAGGAATGAACTAAAATTTTTAAGATGTCCAAATCTGTATCTTTCTCTAATTTTTTGGTCACAACACAGTTTGTTCTATTTTGCGTAAATACTTCCACTTTATAATAGCTGTCTCTAGAAACTTGGCAGGTGGACCACTGTTATCAACTTGTTTTTTCTAGTAACTATCAAATTCAGTCATTCTGGTATTTGTAAGAAATTCACCTCTTTTGATTTTCTGTTCTATTCAGATACTATAATACTTTAGAGGGGTATAGTTCCGAAACTTGTAATTTCCATTTTCTGTCAAAAAATTTGACTGTCTTTTTAATCAGTATGCCTCCCTGCAATTTATGCGCAAATTTTTGTATGTGTGGTTGAGAAATTTAAATTTCATTTTATGCAATAGTCTCATGAGGCATCCCTCAAAAAATTTAAATCATTCCTACATTTCTGAACAAAAAAACGGAACTTGCTGGTTTTGGAACTGTACTCATTGAGTTTAGTAAAGTATTTTACTGTCGCATGTTTTTGTAGATTTTTTTTCTTTTAAATTTTTTAATCGTGTAAGAAGAGAAATTCAAATTTATGAATAATTAAAAGTTAATTTCACAGAACTCTTTCTCTAATATTGGAATGAATCAGTACAGTGGCAGCTCTTACAGTTTGGGGCATAATTATTTCAAGTTGTTTTTGATGGACCTATGAAGAGAAGTAATCTTGAGACGAAATCCATAGTAACAATTTTTAATGGAATCTTTGTTTGAACCAGTGTGAAGCAACTTGTGGTCTGACAACAAAAACAAGGTCCGTAGTGTGCGCATCTGCGAAAGGGACCTTGCACGCAGAGAGTGAGTGCATTGCATCGAAGCGGCCGCAAAATGTGTCAGACTGTGAGGAAGTGACCCCATGCGAGTATCTGTGGTACACATCGGAATGGAGCCAGGTTCGATTCCAATATGATTCTCTTTTAGCTAGTTCCAGATCCAGCATATTCTCTTCTACTTTAAACAATTTTCAAAAGTCTGCTTTGCTGCAAGGTTTAAGCGGCATTCAATTTTCAAGATTCACTTTGCATGTGCTATCTGCTTCTTTTAATTGTTTAAATAGTGTTTGAGAGGTGGACATCTCTTAGTTCGCTAATCCTTGTAGGTTTTTTTCCTCTTCAATCAAGTGGATCTGCCAAAGTAGAAAGTGGGTCAATAAAGTTTTTAATTCTTTTCTCTCTATAGTTGAACGTTTTGAGTTTATCGAAAAGGTTTCAGGGTCTCTTCTACTTAATTGACTTTCAGGTGTCATTCCTCATCTCTCAGGGAATTGGTAATTCCAGTTAATAATGTTTTGTGTTGACATTTTTGTATCAATTCAAAACTTACAAGTTTGTGTGAACACCTGATACTTGTTCCTACTACTTGGTATTTGCAACTGCGGAAGCAGAATTAGTGTACGTAAAGTAGCTTTTGTCTTTATATTGATCTTGAAATTTTTTGTAGCTGAGAAAATGTAAACACGATTTATCTTCCCTTTAAATATTTCAACTACAAAGGGATTTGTGATTTGATAGTTTATTATGTTTCTTTGGCAAGTGTTCAGCTCAATGTGGATCAGGCATTCAGACCAGACAAGTATTCTGTGGACTGCGCGAGAACGACACAGTGACAGTTGCCGAAGATGACAAGTGTAACTCAACGTTGAAATTGTCTACATCTCAGAATTGCACTGCTCCTGAACCATGCAAAGGACTTTGGTTTGCTGGCCCCTGGAGTGCGGTAAGTTTAATTTATTTATTAGAAAAAACTGAGTTATCACAATTTTTGGTAGCATTAGAAATCAAGCTTGATTCAAGATAGGTACACTTTTATCATCATCATTGTATAATTTGTTAAGATTTTCAGCACAAAACTGTCTTTTCCATGTGGAATCTTGCACATTGTTCACCCTTCACCCTCTCATAACAGTCTGTAGAACAGTAATTGACTGTTTGCCATCATTTAAAGAAAATCGTGAGAGAATTACATCAATGGATAACTGACAAAACGTTTAAAAAATGGCTATTTCAAATCTCTTGCTATCATTTTTAAATAAAAAACGTATCAAAATGATCTGTCGAAAGTTTGCTGCAATGTTTTTGGCTCCATGTTAAAATTTCAAGCCATAAATTTCAACTGATCATTATAGATAATCATAACGACAATATTAGAGTGCAGCAATTTAGGCCTGTGTTTTAAAATTTAAAGAGCAACCTCATTATTTCTGGCATTGTTTCCCAGCCAAAGTCAACATTATCTAAGAGTACTTTTTTAAAATTTATTTTAGCAACTATGTGAAAACATGCATTTAGAAAATTGTCCGATTTTTTTGTTTGCAACAATTATTTATTTCACCATAGGAAAAAGAGAATATTCTAAACTTCCATTTCTTTGTTTCTAGTGTTCGAAAAAATGCGGTGGGGGAGAAATGTCAAGGAAAGTTTTGTGTTTCATCGGAAATGCTTCTGTTGCCACAAGTAATTGTGATGCTAACAAGATCCTGTTTACGAGTGAGCAGTGTAACAATCATCCATGTAACGAAGGTAACTGTTTTCATCAGATTTTAAGGCATTCAACTAATAACATATTACCTTAAATCAGGAACAGAGCCGATAGCTTAGGAAAACTCATTTCTTTTCAAAAATTGAAAACCGGCATGTCCAATGTAACAGACTGAAGAGCCTCATCAGCTTAATCTCTTTTATGTGCGATAATGAAAAGATGAAAACATTTCTTCCACTAGAATTGAAGCAAAAGAAACATTTTTATATAAAAGGTTCCATTTGATTTCAAAGTGTAAAATTTTATTTTAAGAGAGCAAAAAACCGTTTAAAAAGTCTTTTCTCTGCTCATTTTATCTTTATATAGAGTTTCCTTATAAAAAATATTTATCCGTGTTTTAAAGCTTACAAAAGTCAATTTTTTTTGTATTATGAATGAAGTGGAATTAAAAACCAAAGCAAGTGAGAATTTTATGTTAATTGCTTAAACTCTCACAGTTTCTTGCGTTCCTGGGTTTTGGAAACCAATAGACTATCGACCCTCGATGAAATTCAATCAGAAGTATTTATAAGATAAAACATGTTTCATTTTCCAGATGAAGTCATCACAGTGGATCCAAAAATTGCTATAGAGGAAGAAGAAGAAGAAGAAAGCAATGAAGAGTGTGAAGAGGAAGAAGGGGAAGAAGATGTTGAGGGAACAACACCCTCAGTTTTCGGAACTGCAGAACCTGTCACCGAAATGGTAGTCTCATCTTTCCAAAATTCATCATGTATATTCAAATTTAAAAGTTTAAGGCCAAATTTTAGATGATCCTTCATTTGGCTTTTGCATTAAAACATTAAATTCACGGAGAAATTCTTCCCTTAGAAAATTGTTTTATTTCCCGACTCGAAAATTACTTGAAGTTGAAATAACTCAAGGTTTTTCACTGAAATTGATTGATTTGGTCTTCCTGCTTTATTTCAAGTCTAACCATTCTGTGAGTATTACCTTAAAATGGCGCGTTTTTTTAAGAGATGCGAAAGAAAATTTTTGTTTTAAAAAACGGCAAAAGGATTTAGTGGTAAAATTATGAACAGGTGAAAAACATTCGTTTTTTGGATGCTCGCATGTAATATAAATTTAGCGATTCTTTTTGAAAACAGAAATCAACGTGAAAACTCCTCTGAAAGCATGAAGTTGCAAAAAATGTATTTACAAACATTGGACAGTTTTTCTGTTTAATAGATTTTTCGAGGCATTAATTAAAGATGAGAAGAAGCTCTCCTGTATCACTAGTCTATTTTATGTCATTTTTTATCAAAAATCGGAGAGATTTTAAAATCTTTTTGGACACATCTTTCCAAACTTTTTGCAGAAGCCCCAACACAACCTGAGGTTTCATTGGAAGAATTTGTATAAAAATTTAAGACCAAGAAGGCTGTATTTTATTTTTTCTAAAAATCTTTGTCTATTTTGCAGACCGCCACAGCAGCAACGGAGATCGAAGGTTCTGGCGATGGTACAGAACTTTCACCAACTGCCTCCTCCGAAAGTGACGTCTCTGAATCCTCCTCCGAAGCAAACACAGTCACATCCAACAGTCCTGAGCAGGAGACTTCTATCGCCTCCGATTTAGAAAGTAAAACAACTGCAAGTGACGCAGTGACAACTCCAGAATCAACCGCTGTCCCCACCACCGAGGCAGTGAAAGCAGCAAGTGAAGCCGAGCAAATGGTTGGAGACGACCCCGACGCAGGCGCTCCAGAACCAGCCGGAGAAGCAGCTCCCACCACTGTAGCCTCTGTGACAGTCGCAAGTGGCGATTCAACCGCAGCCACCATTCCCGAATCAGAAACCAAATCTGCATCAACAGACACCACTGAAGTTGTAACTGCTGCTAGCAGCAGTTCCGAAGCCCCCATTGATGCAGCTAAACCGGCAAGCACAGACGCTACAAGTCCTGTTGATTCAGCTAGTTCTGTGGGTGTTGACTCCACAAGTCCTGCAAGCACTGACACCACAGATGCGACTGATAGCGCTACGGATAAAACGGAAGACTCAAGTGTGATGGGAAAATCTGCGGAGGCAGAGGAGACGACTCTGTCTAGCATTTTAAGTACTTTGTCCTCACTCTTCCCGTCCAGCTCTGAGAGTGGGACGGAGGCTACTGGCACGGGCTCCACGGACGAAACAACAGTCACAGCTGAGACGGCAGCCACTGCTGGCTCAGAAACTCCGGCAACAGGGACTGAAGCAACAGCATCTACGGATGGTAAGTTTGCTGAAACTAGAATAAATAATGGAGCAGAAAATGGAGACAATAAATTGTTAACAAAATGTTAAAAATGTCTTTCCTTGGTATGCCTCCTGAAAGATAGCTGCTTTGCTGACCAGTACTTATTTAAATTTAGTGTAAATGTCCCTTTCAAGATGATTCAAATTAATAAAAATATGTACCAGGGTGCAATGCAGCCTTCTCCTTTTTCTATGTATTTATTTTTCCCACGAATATTGACAATTAATGAAGTGTAAAGTAACGAAACCTCAAAACTCATTAATGTCTTTACCTTATTTCCTTCAGCTCATTAAAAACATATGTTCATTCTGTACAGTTGTGTCAACTACCCCTAGCTCGTACACAGACATAATGACTGAGGGTTTCACGTTGAAGAAATGCAAAAAGAAGAAGAAGAAGAAGCCAGATTGTCAAAAAACTGAATTTGGCTGTTGCTTTGATGGAATCACCCCTGCCAAGGGTCCCTTCAGTGAAGGTAAAATTAATTTTTTACAGAGATTATCGCTCTTTTTATAGTGAATTTACTAAAAATTAAATTAGTGTGATATTATTGAATTTAGAAACATATTCATCCTTTGTTTATCTCTTATTATTGTGTCCGATGTTTCACCTCGGATTGCCTTGTCCAAGTTTCAACTGGTACAATATAAGAGAGAGCTGTTGATAAACCTGAAGAAAGTGTGACAAGTAACTCTTAAAGAGATCTAAAGCAATCAAACCTATTGCAATGTATATCACGCACCAAATATTATATTTCGCATTTTTCATGTGTGTTTGTGTGGCGGATCTAGGAAGTTGACAACATTATTTTCTCTTCATTTGAACCATGGAAATGAACGGATCATCTGAGGGGCCAGGTGGTGCTCCGACAAAAATTGATTTATTCAACACAGGTTTAAATTAAGAAAAGCCAGCGCACATGCCGCTAGATCCGCTTCTGTTGTGTGTGTGTGAGGGTTTCTTCAAAAATGCTAAAACTCTTTCGAATATTAAAATTTTCAAGGTACGTTCTTCATGAGAAGCCGTAATCTGCATGTTTTAGAAATTTAATATTGCGCTGGAGGTAAGATCGAAGAATACAGAATGGAGCTATGTGGCTCTTTCTAATTTCTACAGGGGAATTAACAAGTGTTCACTAGAGTCCCTTGTTGGAACTGGATTATCCTCTTTGCCTCTGATCTAAATTTTGTTTTTATTTCATCCTAGGTTGCAGCATTATCACTATTTGCAATGAAACCAAATATGGCTGTTGTCAAGACGGAGTCTCACCTGCAACTGGCCCAGATTTTGAAAACTGTCCACCATCAACTTGCAACGAAACCTTGTTTGGATGCTGCCCTGATGGCTACACACCTGCAGAGAACAATGAAAAAGAAGGTTGTCCTGAACAAAAACCTCCTCCGCCTAAATGCGTCAAATCTAAGTAAGTTAAAAAACTCCCTCAGAACTAATTAAATTTCATTTCAACTTGAAATTGAATGATCGTTGTAGGAGGAAAATTTGAATTGCAATAGACATGTGAAAAAGGCAAAAGTCTGATTTTTTTCAAACCTACTCATAATTATCAAACTATCATGTGGGTTTTTTTAAAAATATAATATTGATGTATAAACCTCCTCTAAAAGAGATTGGACATTACAGGTTTGGTTGTTGTCCGGACAATGTCACTGCTGCGACAGGCAAGAAATTCAAGGGATGTCCTGACACCCGTAAAGCAAATAAAACTGAAGGGAAAGCAGAAGTGTGCACATCATCCAAATTTGGCTGCTGTCCAGATGGCAGCACCGCAGCCAAGGGTAAATCTTTCGAGGGCTGCAAGGAGATTGACCACAAAAACTGCTCAGCTTCATTCTTTGGTTGCTGCACTGATGGAAAAACTCCAGGTATGTCCTCTCAGCTACCATTTGAATAAAAGTAAGTAATCTATCAAATTGTCATGACATAAATTTAAGTGAAGCAACTGCCCAAAGAATAGTTAGTGGAAAAAAATATTAATAAACTCATCTCTTACTGTGATATTTTGGCAGGGTTTCTAGCATCAGAATTTTCTGATTCTATCAGGATTTGCGGTTAATCAGGATTTAATTCTGATTCATCCGAATTCGAGGAAAAATCGGTCGTAAAATCAGGATTCGAGAAAAATCGGACGTCCCCTCGGATTGTTTTATCGAGCTATTTTTGTGATGTTACATTTGCCTCTTTTTCCCCGCAAAAAATCAGGATTCGATCAGGATCTGGAAAAATTATGGAATCAGGATTTAGCAGTAAAAAATCAGGAAAAATCAGGATTTCCCAAAATGAAAAAAAAAAAAAAAAAAAAAAAAACTAGACACCCTGTTCAGTTTTGCTTTGATCTATACAATGAGAACTGACAAAGTGACTACTAAATGGGTTCAGTTTAAAAAAAAAAAAAAAAAAAAAAAAAAACTAGACACGCTGTTTGAAGAAGGCTTTTCTAATTTTGTTGCTCATAACAAAGCCTTTATTTAAATTAATGCCTCTTTTGCGCATTTTCTTTTGTCTCTCAATTCGTTTGATCATATCTTCCTTTGTTTCAGCCCTGGGAACAAAACAAGAAGGATGTCCAGCGGCATGTCAGTCTAGTGAACATGGTTGTTGCGATGATGGTGCTACCCCTGCTCACGGACCAAACAAAGCAGGATGTTGTCTTATCACTCAATTTGGCTGCTGTCCTGACAATGTTAGTCCTGCTCAGGGACCAAATCTTTACGGTAACAGCATCCAATTTGTTTTTACACAGCAATTAGTTATTATTTTCATCAGTGCGATTTAAAAAATTAAGATCATTCCAAAATGTAGATAATTTCTTAAGAGATTGACTTGTCAACTGCTGGCAATTTTAGGGAAATTGTTCCCATCATATCTGAGAACATGCAAAAAAAAACTCCGGAGCCCAAACACGTCAAACTACGGCCTCTGTTAATTGCTGTGTTGCAATATCTGGATACGCACCTAGCCCTTTCTCCACAATAAGTCCTTTAAGGGCCTTTAGACAGAACTTCTATTACACAGCAGTACAAGTAAGATGTGCCACTCAAAATACCCATTACTGAAACCTTTTTGGCACGGTGCGGCCAATAAAATAATTGTCACAATGATCAGCTTGGCATCAAAGGCTTTAAACCTGTTTTAGACCTCAGGAAAAATTGGACTGCATTTTGCAATTTGGAACTATAAATCCTGGCTCTTCTGGAAAAACACTTATGTACATGGGGAAACTAATAGCACTTACGTTGTTTTTAAACCGGACTAGAATTTATAGTTCCAAATTGCAAAATGTAGTCCAATTGATCAATTCAAAAAGCAGTCTCTTAAGGAGCCAAAATTAGCAAATGAAACAGCTGTAAATGATCAAAGTAAATTTAAACTTGCCTAAAAATTATGAAGTACATATCTTTTATTTTAAAATGTAACAATCATGATTTGAATTGTAGTTTATTATTTCTTTTTTTCTTTAGATTATTTTAGCATTGATCAATATCATGTTATAAATTTTTTAGGTTGTGACTGTCAGTATGCAGCATACGGCTGCTGTCCAGACAATAAAACAATTGCGCGAGGACCTGCTAACGAAGGCTGTGGTTGTCAGTACACGACTCATGGGTGCTGTCCTGATAAATACACTCCGGCTTTGGGTCCTTCCTTCCAAGGATGTCCTTGTCATACTTATCAGTTTGGTTGCTGCAATGATGGAGTCACGCGAGCTAAAGGACCAAGATTGCAAGGTATTAATTTTTTGTTGTATCTCATCCAAATTCAATTTTTATTGTCAAAATCTTTTCATTCAGAATTGAAGGAATGAAACCCATCATCCTTTCTCTCAATTTCGATGATCATACTCTTGATATTCGTAAGAAGTTATTTGTTACCTTCACATAGTATCTGTCTCTTTATTTTCCTGTCTATTTTACACCAGGTTTGATTCTAAATGTGGCCCTCAAAAAATTACGCTGCACATCTTAAATTAAATATTAAATCAACAGAGTATTTGCGATAGGGACGTCCCATGAAGGGATAGTGGCTGGGCATTAACAAAAAGATTGCACTCTGTCAGTGGGGACACTTTGCAAAAAAGTAGACACATGAGGCGTTTGGGTGTTGCAGAGCGCTAAAGTGCACTGTAGGAACGACGATACGTATGTAATAAATCAATAAATTGTTTTTTTCTTCTTGAAGTTCAGGCAATAATTTTTTTTTTGTTTGGGCCCAGGTTGCGGTTGTGAGAATACACAGTACGGCTGTTGCTCTGATGAAAAGACTCCGGCTCCAAATCCAGAACGGAACTGTACCTGCGAGGCAACCAAGTATGGGTGCTGTTTGGATGGTATCTTTGAAGCCAAAGGAGAAGACTTCTTCGGTTGTGATGTTGTACCAGAAAAGAGAGGACGTAAGTATTCGTTTACAGGCTTCCATTCTCTCGCAGTTCCTCATTTTTTTTGTTTAAAGTTGTCATAAGACTAGGTTATCTTCAGAATTGGAAATTGTAGGAATATTATGCAACTCAAGGGAAAAATACCAAAATTTTCAGGTGATGAGAGTTTCAAAGAAATTAGTGACAAACACTACACTCTCCTCCACTGGCTCAGTTTTCTTGTATTAAAAAATTCTGTGAACTGGTAGAACAGAAATTTAAGAAAGTTCAACATCAGATAATAAAACGGAGAACTTAAAGATCGATTGTAAAATAACGGTAGAATTGATTCTTTTAATGTATATTTATTAACCATTAGTTATGTATTATAAGTAGCTACAATCACATTGAAAGAGATCTGTTTTCATTTCAAGTCGAAACGTTTACTGCCAAGCTGGTCAAAATAACTGTTTTTTTGTCGGTTGCACCAGGCCTAAACGGTCACAGTGACCAGCGTTTTGAATGATTTTTTTCATCATACTGCTTTAGCACGATAGAGGCGCTGTCAGCAGATTCTCAAAAGAACTAATTTTAGAGGAATTGTGTGTATGCAAGTGGTTTAAAGCGTTCAAATTCTACTAGATTTTGCAAGTTTTTCTGGCATGATAGGAACAAACTTGTAAAGACACAATGGCAGTGAATGTGTTAAATGTCAAGTATCATGTATCCTCCTCTTTATTCAATTCAAATTAAAGTTAATATTCTTTTTTTTTGGGGGGGGGGGGGATGTGTCTAATCCCCACGAGTGATATCAAAATGAGCTCGCTCATACTGTATCTCTTCCGATTCTGAATCCTGACCTCCCAGAAGATGTGAGTAAGTCGCAAGTTAATGAAAAAACATATATAAGTAAGGAAATTACATTAATAGACACCTCAGCTCACAAAATCCGAGAAACCTAGTAAAATCCTCTGATTTACGGTCATGCTGGACTGGTTCTAAATTTAGACGAAGAGTTCGCGATTAACCGACTGGCTAACACTAATTCACTTGTGAGGTCAACACTCCGGAAACTTAACATGTGAATTCTCGCTTTTTGTAGGTGTTTGCTCTCAACCCAAAGATAGAGGCTCATGTCGAGATTTCACTGTCAAGTGGTTCTTTGACACAGAATATGGTGGCTGCTCAAGATTTTGGTATGGTGGTTGTGAAGGAAACAGCAACCGGTTCAAATCTCAGGAGGAGTGTCGCAGCATTTGCGTCGAGCCATTAGGCAAAGGTATCTCAATTTAGATCCTAATGCAACCAAGAAATATTAAATTGTTTGACTGAATTTAATAGCCAATATTTTTATATTCTATTTTATGTCCGAGACAATTAGAAAATCTTGCTGGAAATTCACAAAAAAAGACAAAAAATGTCTTCTATTATGTTTTGGTAACAACTTTGACATCAATCAATTTTAGTCTGAAAAACTTTCTGCAAAATCTGTCTGTACTGCGAAAAATGTCCCAATGGTGAACTTTCACCGGAAAATAAAGAACTTTATCAGATCAGAAGATTTTCTTCCAGCAAAATTTTCTTCATGGAAAAGGAACCATGAATATGGACTATTTGTAATAACATCTATGTGTGTAAATATGAAACTCAGTCTTTGACATAAGCTGAAAAAACTTGACACCTTTTTGATAAATGTACATCAATTTAAATCTGAATTGTTATACTATTTTGTAGAGGCATGTTACTTACCAAAGATCTCAGGACCGTGTGAAGGGTACTATCCAACATGGTACTATGACTCAGAACGTCAACATTGTGCTCAGTTTATTTATGGCGGATGCCTGGGTAACAATAACAAATTCCAGACAAGAGAGGAATGCCAACAACTTTGTAGCACTCATAGCGATAAAGGTAAATTCTTACATTTTTAGAGAATTAGTTTAACACTGAAGTATTATTAAGTTTGTTCTTTTTTCCTAGCATTAACTGTAGTTAGTAATTGATGTGTCTTTACCTTTTTAATCCGTTAATTGCACGAATCTATTTCACTTATATTTGATGCCACTTTTCCTTTCTCTTTGTAGTTTTCTTACAGTTTTTTCTGTTGGTGAAAGAAAAAACAGTATGTTTTCTCACTTAAGTTTCACCCCCTTTGCATGTAAGTGAAATTAACAAGTTTTAAAAAGTACTTACCTAATTGGTAGCAGCTCGACGGTAGTAACTCAATGAAGAAATTACATTTTTATGAGTCTCTTTAATTCTTGTATAACTGTTAACTACTATTAATCTACTCCTTACTTTTTTGCACTAAAATGACGTAACTATGAACTAACCGAATCTACTTCCTTCCCTTTTCTATCAAATCTTTCATTGCAACAGACGTTTGTGAGCAAACTACTGAGGAAGGGCCGTGCAAAGGTCAATTCACTCGCTGGACTTTCGACAAAGCGTCTCAATCTTGTATTCAGTTTAACTATGGAGGATGTCAAGGAAATGACAATAACTTCCTCACTCAAAGTGCATGTCATCAAAGGTGTTTACAGCCTGGTCGTAGCCGAGGTAAAATCTTCTAGTTCTTCCTTAACTTTTTTAGTTTTGTATTTATGATTGGATCGGTGGAAAGAGATCCCTCGTTTTGAAGTATTAAGATACCTATTCAGGGACCATTCATTGAAAGCAATAAAGAATATTTATGTAAATTTAATCACTTAATCTCAAACATCAGAGGAGATGAATTTTGAAAACGGTGAGTTCTTAATAAAGTCTTTGCCAGAAAAAAGTATTTGGTAAAAGGGCACATTGCCTTCTATCCTAAACAAAGAATCAATCTTTTATTCAGCAATCATCTCATCTAAGATTGATTCATCGTGAATGGGAAAAAGCACTTAACTATCTCTGATCAAACTTTTCTCCAATTATTATTTTACTAACATTTATATCTGATTCTATGAACGCTCATTAGTCATTCTTAATGGTTTCCAACACTATGCCTTCCTGCTTATTTCTTTTAGACGAGTGTTCCCTACCAAGGGTGCAAGGTTCTTGTGGTGAACGCTTGCCGCGCTGGTTCTTTGATGCTTCAGAAAATCGCTGCATGCCTTTCTATTACAGCGGCTGCGATGGAAATGGAAATAACTTTGACTCTCAAGAAACTTGTGAGCGCGCTTGTCCTCCCAAAATCGGTATGAATTTCTGGTTTTTATTATTTTTCTCAGAAAATAAATAGCCACTTTATTTGAGACAGATTTCTCTAAGTTTCAAGCAAATGGTGATATACCTATTTTGCAGCTGTATTTATTACTTGTAGCCATCTGTGTGCTTGAGAAACGTGGGAAAATTGGATGTTTGTATGATAGGTCTGAGAGTCAGGTAAAAGGCAAAAAATTTGTCTCATCTCTCCTTAGAATATAATCAGTATTTAAAAAGAAAGTTTTATTTTAAGATCTGTATGCTGAAACATTTTTCCAAAGAGCTTTTTGAAGCATTTTTCTCTGTAAAAAATCGATAATTCTCTTGCTAGGTACGTAGTCTAAATTACAGCGAAAGTTATGGTCAAAGAGAAATCCTTTAGTAATCCTGAATTGATCACAAAGTAAGAATGTATTGTTAGATTTACCAGTCAAAAATGAATACCCAACGATGAAAATTGTATACTTAATGTAAAATGACAAGTAATGTATGTTATAATTTTACTCGCTGATACATCATTTGGTTTTATTTTGCTACTTCTCAATTTCAGAGCGTGACACTTGCTTATTACCAGCGGTAACTGGTGAGTGCTCCAACTATGTTGAGCGATGGTACTACGACTCCCTGGAAGCAACTTGCAAACCATTCTACTTTGGCGGTTGTGGTGGAAATCATAATAACTTCCCCACAAGGGAGGATTGTCGGGCTAGGTGTGATAGCAATTATTCTCCAGAAGTTGTCCGGCCCCCACCACAACAACCCAGTTACACACCAGTTACATCATTTAGTCAAGGTACCTTAGTCCCTTCGTTTTTTATCTGTCTCTCTGTTAAAACACATTTCTTCATGTGGTAACAATACACATCGCTTCACGTGGGCCCTTGGCGATACCTCAAAATCACCATTGATACAATACTCAGAAATGAGCAATTAGGAAAGGCACCCACAAATTCTTACATTTAAATGTTTTTCTCTGTATAAACTCTCCAAAAAATTTTCTCTGGCTTAAAGTCAGGAAATAATGCAAATTATGAACATTTTTGAAAATCAATTTGTTAGACACCAGTAGTAGGAAAGTTAATAGCCACCATCTAAGACTCATTACATTAAGATTCATGTTGATTTTAACAGAAATATGTAGGACCTAATGGAACTGATTTTAAATTACACAATGTTTCTAGCAGTAATAGATCTGTCTACCAGCATGTAATACTGGAAGAAAGATGGCAAATCCAAATCATTCAGTCAAAAATTTTATTTGCAATAAATTCATTAAAGTGGTAATCATCATTTCGACTAGGTTTCCACCATAATTTAACGCACCTTTCCGAGTTTTTCGGAGTTGATAATGAAAATTCCAATATTTCAACCATAATATAAAGATATTTCCGTGAAAGGTAGGTTTTGCAAGATTTGCATGATTGAACTGTAATTTTTTTTTTGCAGAAAGCTGTTTCTTACAAAACGATGCCGGCCCGTGCAGAAATGTCTCAGAAGCTCTGTGGTACTATGACAGCAGGGACGGAGTCTGCAAACAATTCTTGTACGGTGGTTGTGGTGGCAACGGAAACCGCTTCTCAAACCGTGATGAGTGTGAATCAAGATGTGGAAATGTTCAAGGTAGAGCTAAATTTTACCCCTGCATTTTTTGAGTTATATCCAAAGAAAGAACTTAAGTTCATCTGAAAGAGTTTTCCCAATCTGCTTCTTTTTTCAATCCTGAAAATTTCAGCTCTCAAGCGTTCTGCTATGCTCTAGTTTATCAGTCTACTGTCCATGAAAACCAGAATATATGAGGAAAATCAATGTCATCCGGAAAATATTAGGAAAACCGGTCATGGATCAGGAAATTCTAAGTGCATCCAGAATTTTTCAATTACATGCAGTACTTTGATAAAAGTTATTCTAATAATAGGGTATCCAATCCTAGTTTTTAAATAGTGGTTTCAATTTTTATTGATAAGATTTTTCAAAATTTAAAAACGCTTCTCGCTTATATTCTTTTTTTTTGACATCTATTTAAACCAATATAATCTATATAAACAGAATTGTCAAAGTATATGCCAAAGTGAAACATTTAATGTAATTAATCAAATATTTTGATTTGTAAAATCAAACGAGTGTCAATTTATTCGTCTAAAAAATCAAGAGATTTCATTTAAAATATCAGGAAAAATTGGGAAAATATCAGGAAAATCCTAAATGAAAATTTATTAGACATCCTCTCAAGAAAACTCACATCCCTTTGAACTGCGATGACATACTGCATGGCTTACTGCCAAATTTATTGTGCATTTGCGGAACGGTCAAACTAGTGGTTTGACCACGAGACTCAAAGGAAAAATCCTTGGGGAAAGGAAAAAGCAAAACTGAACAACACAGGAGTTAAATGTTTACGAGGTGTCATACCGAGGAGAACCGGAAGCACGAGTTCTGAAACCAAACCTACTATACCACAAAACCCAAAAACACAAGAAATAAACCCTCCGAGGGTTAACCTTGATTTTGAACTCGCATAATGAATTAAAGAGTGACTTTTAATTCATTAATGAACTGTATAAACTTTTAGTGACGCGAGGATGCAACCCAAACTAACATATAAAGACCGTAATATTAGCTTTAACTATTTTAATAACTGGGTTTATTTGTTTTAATAGCTTAAACTAGTAAAAGCATAATAGTGAAGATATTAGGATAATTTAAAAATTTTAAAACAGTCTAACTCTTAATTAAAAATTATTTAGTTGAATATAAAACACTATGAGAAACAACTTAATCAGCCAAAATACACGTAATAAAAGAACAACTTAATTTGGGGAAAAGGCTGCAAATAAAGAAAGAGGAATAAACAAAACCCGGGACGTTTCAAAATAATAACAATTTCATTATCAACCGGAAAATAAATTAAAAACAAAAACGAGATTTGTCTTGTGTGCTTTGATTTTGCTGCACTGTGCCGAGTCTGTTTACCTGGTAATCAGTCTGGGTCTCGCAATTACAGCGGAGCGACGGCTCGTTTTTGTTTTTAATTTATTTTCCGGTTGATAATGAAATTGTTATTATTTTGAAACGTCCCGGGTTTTGTTTATTCCTTTTTCTTTATTTGCAGCCTTTTCCCCAAATTAAGTTGTTCTTTTATAAAACACTATGTTTTCAATATGTTTTCATCCAAAAGACGCCAGCGCACTGCCTAGGCAAGGGGGAAAGGCATCCCTCCTCATTGGTCAACAGCCAGAGGCGCCAAATTCAAACTTGCATTGTGAAATTGAACTGTTCACCAAGGAGCAGAGGTTTTCCTACCTTCTAGGCACTTGGTTTATGGGGCTCTCAGAACCACCCATTCGCATTGTTTTTTTTTGTTTTTTTTTTCAGATCTCTGCGACTTACCGAAAGTAATTGGGCCTTGCAATGCCAACTACAGATCTTGGTACTATGATCGCAACACGGACTCGTGTCAACAGTTTGACTATGGGGGCTGTCAAGGAAACGGAAACAGGTTTGAGGACGAATTGCAGTGTGCTCAGCGTTGTGTAAGAGACAAGTCAAGAATCACCCAACCCCCGCTAATCCCTGCCTCACCTGTCACATCAGCTGCGCCCCCGACAGAAAACATCTGTTTCATATCAGTAGATCCAGGTCCATGTCTCCAGGAGGTAATGATTCAAGATCGTCCTTGTATAATTTTGTGCCTCTTGCGTTCACAAGATTGAAGCTTCTAAAGCAACGCCTCAAGTAGCAGTGATCGCGAGAAAAAGCGATTTAATCAGTTGGCTATTGCGATTGTATCGGTGGCAATATATCGAGGTATTATCGCATTAGAAATTGCGATATTTGGCAATTAAATCGCTACACATTGCAATTTTTGGTTCGATAAAATCGTGATCAATTTTCGACGATAAAATCGAGATTAAATCGCCATTTATCGCGATTTTTCTTTCGAAAATATCGCGATAAATTATCAGGCGATAAAAGCGCGATATTATTGTGATAAGATCGAGAATAATTGCTCAGATGTTGATGATCCTGGCGATTTTATTGCCGATAAAATCGCAATATATAGCGATCTTTCCGTCGAGAAATGCTACTATGGGGTTAAGAAGAATTGATAGTCCCCTATAGCTATTCTGCTGTTCTAAGCAAGACCCTTATATATGAGACTGTAAGAACTCAACAGCAGTTTATTACTTATCCTAATCATTGGTACCCATGAAAAAATCAACCTTTTTTATCTTTATCTTTAAATGACTAGTAAGCGAAAATATTTAAAAATTGTATTCTCAATGCAAACATCAGGAATGCTTTTGGAGTTTAAAAATTTGCATGTTAGCCAAAAAATCAACTATGAGTTGAAAAAAAAAATCCATAATCAAATTCATATCTGGAATTCCGGAGAGTATGTAGTTTTTCACAAGCAAATCGGGGAGGTAGGAGAAGACTTCAGTTTCCAATCAAGAAATGAGCTCCTGGAAATCAGGAAAAAATCAGGGAATGAGCATGGTTAAGAATTCTAGCTACCCCAATTGAAGCCTAATTATTTAATTTTACTTATTTTTTTCGCAGACATCAATGTGGTATTTCGATAGTGGCTCGAAACGCTGCACACAATTCCTCTACGGCGGTTGTGAGGGCAATGCCAACAGGTTTGAAACAGAGGAAGAATGTGATAGGTATTGCGGCTATTACATAGAGAGAGAACCAGGTAATTCTGAATTTTATTTACCTCTGCATAATGAATCATGTTGTCCACTTTTAAATTTAGAATTAATAAAAGAAATCACATTTTTGAGAATGGGAATCCATGGTGGCAATGATTAATCCAAAAAATGTCATTAGCCACTCTTTTTATAAAACGTATCTCAGTTAATCTGAAAATTATAATTTATTAGGCTAATTTTCTTTGATCCATCAAGATATAGCTAAGGAATGTCCTTAAATGCAGTCCCCTCTGACTTTTACCAATACTATTTTCCAGGATATTTTTAATCTTGAGGAACAAATTTCACAAGTCCACTTAATTTCATTACACTCTCCTCTCATACTGCTGTGCTAAGGAAGAACGCCGTATAAACATTCGAGAGTTGCCAAATTTCCTTCGATAAAATTTTTATTTTTAAGGAAAGTTATGAATATTTTTCCTTTGAATTTTCAGAAACTTTAGGTGAAATTACAAACAAAATTATCTGAAAAATCGGAAGAAAAATATTTATGAGTAACTTAGGGGATTCTTGTTTTATCCAAGGAAATTTGGCGACGCCTGAAGGTTCATACGGCGTTTTTCCATAGCACGGCTGCATATCCATTACACTTTATGAAAATTTTCCAGATCATCACTACGTCAAATCTAAATTGCAGGTTTACTCCTTCATACTGTGGACTGAAAATATACCCGTTATAGTGTTAAAAAAATTATTAAAATTGACAGTTGTTTAAAGGCCAACTGCGATTGACTGTTATCGACTTGTTATTCTTTTCTCTTTTTTTTCAGTAAGGACCACAATAGCACCTGCTGAGGAGCCTAATGTAGAAGCAGAAGAAGGAAACTACGTTACATTGAAGTGTCAAATAGTCATGTACCCAGCGCCGATTCTCATTTGGACCAAAGGCAACTTAACGGTAAGCCTGTCTCCACTTCCGAAGGAAATCATTTCAAGAAGCTTTAGACAAACCCTTAATAAAGCGTCTTAAAGGTTAAATGAGGTTAAATATCTACAAAACTGAAAAAACGTATTTTTGGGAAGTTCACGAAAAAATTGGAATGTTTTTCTTCTACCTCATTTCATTTACCTTTTGCGGTGATACAAAGATTTCAAAAACATTATGCACAACTTTGAAATGAAAAACTGAGATTTTAGTAATCAATTTTTTACGTTTTATTTTGAAGTGTGTGCAGCCAGCTGTTGTTCCAAGAAATTGAAAAGTTCTTGTTACTTTAACCAAAAAAACCATGGAAAAGTGAAGAAATGTTTTTTCCTTAAGTTTGTAGCCACTTTGGTTCCTTTATTGGTACATTCAATTACTCTTTATTCGCTCATTCCCCAAGAAGCAAATGGTTCAATAATACTTTGTAACTGTTCACCAATTGTCTCTTTTGATCATTTAAAAACTCTTAGGTCAAATTTTCAAATATTTTTTGCTTTCCTGGGCTCTTTCACTAATCTATCATGGATGTTGCTTTTAGATTGATCAATCAACAGGACGGATGAGATTGTTAGAAGGAGCTCTTCAAATCATTGGTCTATTCCGATCGGATGCTGGTGTTTATGTTTGCACTGCTGATAATCGTATACAAGCTCCTGTTCGTAAGGAGTTCAACTTAGTTATCAGAGGTAATATAAATTACTAGTTTGTGGATTATTGATTTTTCTCTCTGATAGGAGATTTAGGAAATGAAAAGATTTAATCCACCCAATTTAAAAAAATATATTTTCGAGGCCAGTCAAATTTGCTTATTCTGTAATTTTCATATCGATAAATCAACAACATAAGTTTCTGCCTGGTCTCTGAAAAAAGAACCTATTACAAATGCTTACTATTTAGATTTTGAACCTCAAGAAATGATTTAAATTTTTCTTGTAACTGTTGAAAGTTACAGATACTAGTGCATATATGAAGCCATATCTGTGCCAACAGTGGATAGGTATCGAAAATCCGCCTTTTTTCGGGATAAAGCTGTTTCAGAATCTGCAAACCTTCAAGAGTGTTGGTACCATGTCTCAGACTTCCAGTATAATTTTTCATCAAGATTGAATAAATAACTGTGTTATATCTTAAACAGCGCATGTCAGAATTCATTGTTCCTCTAAATAATTCGCTGAAATTTGCATCAAATTTGAATTTCTAAAGCTCATTTTTTAGTGGAGGATTTGCTCCAAAATAAAATTCTTGATCAAATCCTATTAGCTGCAAGGATCTCGACATCAAAATACACAGCTATAAAAACTTTAAACGCGATTTTCTTTAAACTTAAAAACTCGACATCCCTTGTTTAAACGTATTCAAATTCATATTCAAATACTAATTACAGGTGTGGCAAAATCAAATGAACTAAAAAGTCCATGAATTTAACATCAGAGTATCTTTGTCCTTGCAGATCCAGTAGAAAGACCAGCACAAGTCATAGGCGATGAGTCGACTTCAATCACTGTCACCCTTGGTTTGCCTACGATTCTCCAGTGCTACGCAATCGGGTGGCCACGTCCCAAAGTGACCTGGTGGCGGGGTGAGCGGATGCTCCCAATGTCTTCAGAGCAGTTCGAGCAGCGTTCAGACTACTCCTTACTCATCAACCGTGTGAGTGTGAGTAATCTGGGCCCGTACACATGTCAGGCGTACAATGGACTGGGTCGGGCAGCATCGTGGAGCGTGACTCTGCGAGCCGTTGGCACTGTTGAGCGCGAGGAAGACTCACAATTCAGAGATTACCTCATCCCGCCAAGCTTGCTGTATAATAGGACGGCTATTACAATCCCATCCACGACGACACCTGTTCCAGAGCGAGAAACTCCTAGGGTATATGTCGGTAAGTAAAAGCAGTCTTGTTACCTTCAGAAGGAAGATTTGAGTTTGACAAAATTAAAATTAGAGGAGTTTGAAACAAATCTTTCACTCATTTGTTGCTTTTTCAGCTTTTGTCATATTTAAATCCACTTTCAGGATGAACAAAGGCGGTTCAGTTAGAGATGGTTTGACACTTTTGTTTATTTCAATGCCTAATTGCAAACGATCTTGCAACTAAAAATTTAAAATTTTTTTAAATTTTAATATTTTAGATGTTCAGCACATTCTACCGGTTACATCTGATGAAACTTTAACAGACATTCAAGTTTCCATAGAGTTTAAGCAAGAACGGCTAATGGATTTATCCAGAATTGGAATATTCCTCAATATGAAATTAAACGTTACTAAATCGAAAAAATGTTCAGTCTTGCGATTTTTTATTCAGATTAATTCAAAATGTGTACACAGTAGATCTAGATGCAATTTTTGCAACACCCTACAAAAGCCCAAAAAGAGGAAAATCTACCCGATGACATTGTTTTGAACTCAGAAACTGGGATGTATTTTTATTTTCCTCTGAATACTTTGTAACTTCATTTTCTTCTTTTCTAGTGCCTGTAACAGCAAATATTTCATTATCTTCGCAAGAATATCCAGTTGGCGCTCATATCTCAATACCTTGCGATACAGATGGTTATCCAATTCCTCAAGTTGCTTGGTATAAAGACAATTATCCTGTTGAAAATACTGAAAGGATAAGAATAACAGGTAACATAGTAGTTTAAACTCTCTGCGTTCTGAAACTATTTCATCGTTGGCAAGAAATATAGAGCATGACTCATGCAGAAAACAAAAAATGCCTGCCTTTCTTTGACTTAATTTACGTACCCTTGATTTCTGGGGAATTGATAAATTACATTCAAAAAGACTTGAAATTCGGCAGAAGAACAAGGAAACTCAATTATTCACATCAATTTTTTCCGCAAAAATGATCATCCTTATGCAATTCTGTCCATGCACATGTTCGTTTTTGTGATTGAATATTGTCATTAGGAAAAACTGGATGCCTCCAAGGGTCAGTTTTTGAATTCCTAACCTGTGAAGAGCATCTCACTGAGATGTGTTACTGAAATCCAAACTTCTAAAATTTTGCAAGTAGTCAAAAGAATTTACCTTGTAAAATTCTTATACCCAGCTAAGCCTCAATATTTGAGTGATAGTAGTTGAATAGAGGCAAAAGGATTCTGAAATTCATTAATTGTTTATGTAGAATCTGTAGATGGTTTTTAGATTTTTTTCAAATTCTAACTTTATTAAACTTTTCTTTTGGCCTGTTTCCAGAGAGTAACCGATTAATCATCAATAAAGCGTATGTCAACGACACTGGAAACTACCGTTGCACAGCTTCAAACTCTTACAGCTCTGCAGAGAGCTCTGTATACATTTCAGTCACAGGTAATTCACCTTTGAACCTATTAAAATATTGGTTTGTTTTCCTATTTACTTGTTTCACTGTAATAGTAAGAGATAAAATTAAAATGCTGCAAAAATTTAACAAAATAGTTCCTCTTTTATTGCATGACTTTGTCTATCAACAATGGCGTCCAAAAAAGTAAATTTCATAGTCAGGTTGCTTTGCGATTTATTTCAAAGGAGGCTTTTTGCAGCAAATTTTTTCAAATCTTTCAGAAAATCAAGAAATTTTTTCGCTAGATTAATGCTGCTAAACCTTTACTTTCATCCACAAGCGGCCCATTTGACTCTCAAGTTAAATGTTTTGTAATTTTCGTTTCTACCTCCTAAGGTGAGGTTCTGCTCTCCCATTTTACGCCATTGATAAGTGACAGATACTTCCAAAAATTACAAGAAAGCCTTTAATCTGATCTACCAAGGCGGATAAAGAAAGGTGGTTGCATTTCAAGTTGAGCCGCCATTTTAAAGGGTGTCCTGCGCAGAGGGTACATGCTTTGCCTTGCAATCAGGATGCACCCGAAACGTACCTGATGCCGTGTGACGTCGAGAAGATACTAAATGCGACCACCATTCTTTATCCGCCTTGCTGATCTACCAACTTTTTCATCTTATTCTTTCTAACTGAATGACCAATGAGAAACGGCTTCAAATTAGTAACAATTTCCTAGCAACGGTTTGAAAATTTTAGAGGCAGTAGCAATGACCACATTAACACACCAGTTGGACAGCTTTATTTATGCTAAAAGGAACTATATTCCACGCAAACTCTATGCACGTACTTCCTTTCAACATAAATAAGTCGAATTTATTGATGCTATTTAGCAAATAGTTTTGATTTTCCATGACAAATCATGATCTCAAATTGACTTCAACTCCACCGTTTCTCTCACTTTTCAAATTTTGCCACTGAATGCCTTTTGGAGCAAAAACTAAAGTCTCTGAATCTCTTGTTTCCAGGTGTCTACGTTCATCCTTCATGTACAGATAGTCCATTCTTCGCCAATTGTAAATTAATTGTGAGGGCGCAGTACTGTACTCACAAATACTACGTTAAGTTCTGCTGTAAATCGTGTACAGAAGCAGGTCTGTTACCACCAATAGGACCTCATCTAGACCTGTCCGAAAATCCTGAGAACTCTGTAAATTCTCGAAAGAGAAGGGATTTGCCAAGCCTTAGTGACTTTATTCTCCGGCAGAAACGACCGAGATACTTCAAGTCACTTACGTAGCAGTAGAGGAAATTTTGTAAATAAATGTTTGTCTCAGTTGAACTGATTCTTATTATTGAATGTGGAGGTTTGTTCTGAACTTTCAGAGCAACTGTACAACTTTTGTAATTAGAATTTTGTATATTGACTACCTTAAAGTGTATTTATTTTGAGTCTGTAACTATTTATTGTTTTAACTTTAGTTCCTTTTATGATGATAAAATAAATTTCTGACACTTTTTCTAGCTGTTCGCATATACTTTCATAATATAACATCACACATTGAGTCCATGAGCAGCGTCCATAATGGTAGTTTCTGAAATAGATTTTCAATGAATCCTTTTAATGTCATACAACTCATTGTCAGAATTAATGCTGCTATATGATATAGATAAGTTTCTTGCGTTAAATTGTAAATTAACATAATGGGTCACTAAACCTTGTGTTTTTTATTCAATATTCTAAAATTACCAAGTGAAAAGATTGCGTGGTGATTTATTGTATATTTTTGGAGACAAAATCCCAGACAAGCCCGCTTCTTAAAATTTCAAAGAATCAAAGGAATTTCGAACGCACTGAAATAGCAGGAGAATGATTGCAGTGAAGTAATGTGGTAGTCAAATCGCCATCTCTTCTGATTTTTCATGGATGTTCCTTAAAATGGAACTTATTCTAATGCGGAATTGTTGCTTGTTTACTACAGATAACATGAAAGAGATTTGTTTCTTTGATTCGGAAGATATCGTTTTGATTTTCCTATTATTTTCATGAATGAGGAGTAGAGAGACATTTGACGTGAGTTGTAGGAACCCGTGCTCGCTTCTGATCGGTGCCGGATGATATAATTTGAACTGCGTATTTCTCGGTTTCTAGGTTGCTTTTTCGCATTTTGAATGTGCACGTCGTGTTCTACGCGTCTTTACTTTTGGAAAAATGCAAGACAAAATTCGTTAATGGTTTAGTGATCCATTATTTCTTCTCGAAGACACAGACCGTGTAGCAGTGCAAGGTAATGATGTCGCAAATCAAATAATAAGAGACATAACTAATTTTTAACATATCTTTAATACAAATTCCTACAATTCAAAAGTCTTCATCGTTCAGGCATACAATTTAGTGCAGAAATGATTACAATTGTATTTACAGTTAAACTGCTGCAGCATTAGAAACTCTGCAAGGGTGTAAAAAGGGTTTGAGTAGAAAGTAAGATTACTTATGATGATTCAATCATCAAACAGGGTGAAAAAGAAATCAGGATGATGTGTAACAAAAACCGTGTCAAATAATTAAGACATTTGTTTGAAAACTAAAGCTTATTTTTTTCGGCTTAAGACAAAAGCAACTAGAATAGTGGCATGTTTTCCGGGAGAGAAAACACCTGCAAGTGTCGGAATACTTAAAAGACAGAAACTAACGTGAAAAATTTGCTGACGTGCACTTAGAATCCTTCTTGATACTGTCTTGACTCCATTTTGGTCTGGAGGATTTCTAACTGTCGCTTGGCTTCGCATTGTGGGAAGTTTTGTAGGTCATAATATTGAGGAGCAAGTTTCAGGAGCCACTCCGCTAAGAGAAAACAAATTAAACACATTAAACAGACTTTGGAAACGTATACAACAACCCCTAACATAAAATGATAGAATTGAGAGCCAGCTAAATTCTGTTGATATTTGATAAAAAGTGATGGGGATCAAAAGCTGTAATCTCTGTCCACACGTCTAAAAATTTGGCAGATTTGTTAATTTTTTAAAAGAAGTGACCGATAAGACTTCGTCTGTAAAATATTGTCATAATTTTTTTGCTAACACGTAGAAAATTCTTGAGAGAGGCGAATAGAAATTCATCTGCTCCCTTTATTATAAATTAAAATTAAAATGATTGCCTTTTCAGACACCGCAATGAAGATGGCAGGTTTAGATCCTAGATGCCTCACATTAAGTTTACTTCCTGAGCAAAAAATTGATTTAAGTTGAACTTTCTCAGTGCCAATTTTGAGAAAGCAGTGTTCTTTCCAAAACCAAGGCAATTTATATGTACAGAACCATAAAAAGGTCATCATTTTGAAATTTCTGAGGAAAAAGGGGTTTTTAAAACAGGATGGCTAGTTTGAAAAATGGGAAGGTCATGAATTTTCTACGTCCAAGCATAGAACACTTGATTAGAGTTCAAATAGAGTTTTCTGCCCTCAGCCTGCTAGAGAGATGAGGCACATGCCATGTACCGTTTCATTTTTGCAATCAAAAGAACTAAAATGCTGCCAAACCAGATCCCTGTTTTTCAATACTGACACAAAAAAATTCCAGAATTTAAAGCTTGTCATACTCAGGAGATTGCAAAGAAAATCATATCAAATTATGAAAAATTGATTCGGTCCCAAATATTTTAGTGTAATATGTGGGATCCTTTACTAATTTTTTCATAATTTCATGAATTTTCTTTTTTTTTAAGTACCTAATTACAAATGTCATGACATGCACATTACAGAAGAAAACAAATAAGACTTTGACTTTTCTTTAATCTAATTCTACCGTTGCAATTAAGAGTCTGCAAAAATTTTTACAGGAAGAAATTTTCCATCAATTTTCAATTTCACATCAAGTTTCAGTCAAAGTTAAAACATTCTTCCGAACTTCACAACAGAGATTTAGATCTTCACCTCAACACTTCTAAAATTTGAAAATAGAAAGAGATCAAATACACGAGAAGAGTCACCAGATTTTCATAAAATTTCATCACTTCGGAGGATTTCCTAAAAAGAACGTTTTTAAATTCCTTGATCTTTTAACTTAAATGCCATCCAAATTTTGCGTCATAAGTTAGCATGATAAAAAATGGTTGACTGAGAAAAGGTTGATTATAAAGAGATACATCTCTGACTTACGCTTAATATCCGTAACCGTTCGGATGTAGTTTTTGGTGGTGAGCACAAATTCATTGTAGATGACCCACTCCGGCTTGTGGTCCAAACATGTCGAAGGGTGAAGCTGCACACCCTGATTATCCTTGATTGTCAGGTAATGGCCGGTCCTTTCGAGATGAGCAACCTGTATTCAAAAAAGCAGAGACGCAAGGTATTATATATATATATTTTTTATTTAGATCATTGACAATCAATCAAAATAATTACTGAGGGGAAACCAAAACACCTCCTGTTAAAATGCTGAGTCAAGCTTTCAATTGGGTTCAGCAGATAAGAGACAATATGAATTGCGATTTCTTGGAAATTGTGTGACTTTCTTTTACCTACAGTGAAAAAATTTAGAGTATGGAAAAGAAAAAAAATTGAGTTAATTACCTTATTTTTTTTAGATGAATAATAGTAAAACTTTGTGAATCTGAGCTTATCTTGCAAAATAGATAACAATGCATAAACTTTGTCATATTGAAATGGAATTGCGCGGTCCCTTTCTTCTACACTGAGCCCAACTTAACTCGGTTTTTGTAAAAAATAAATTCATTGTCTTTACAAGTACGGTAAAAGAATTATTAGAAAAATGCCTCAAGTAAACAAAAGGAGGTTCAAACAATTAATATCTTGTAAGAATAATCAAAGAGAGGCCAAAAGATGAGCAAATATGTTGAGCTTTCACATGGTCAGAAAAATTCTGGGCCTTTGTTGAAATTTTAGTACTTTTTAAGTGCTCCTTGAACATTTTCTAAAATTCGAGACTATTACTTACATGATTACATTAGTAGACACCATACAAAGAAAATTTGAACTTATCATACCAACAGAACAACATACTACAAACAACAGTAATGGTACAAAGGAATTAAAAAATGTCCAAGAGCGCTCAAAACAGATAAGTACTTCCAGTTCCCTGAATTCTGGGAAAGTTACCGCAACTATGCTCCAAAAACATACCTGCATAAAGAAGCCAGTCACGAGAGACTTCCTGATGTTGAGATAGTAATCTTTTGACGTGAACTCTGTCGAAGATCGCTTCAGGGCAAACCTGTCCATTATCCTAGCGAGCTGTTGCCTTACATTATCTGCCGATTTTAATGATCGGTAGTTGACGAAGTTATCATAACACCATTGCGGGTCTTCCGAGTCTACAGAAGTTGAGACAGAAAGAAAGTTACAAGTTATCAAAAGTTCCTACCAAACTACAAATTTTGATTCCTCAATGATACGAAAATAAGTCAAAGGAATGAGGATCATAAATAAAATTAAGACTGCGCAGAAAATTTGGACGCTTCCATAATTTCTTGGACTTTTTTGTTGAACAGTGATAATTCAACAAATCTATTTTTCTCCTGATTTTCAAAATTGTAAAAAAGCATGATGAAAGCTTATAATGGCAGTTGGTTGCTGTTTTCTAACTGACGGTGCTATGTATCCTAAGTATACCTATTTTCAGCATCATTGGATGAATTTTGGGACTATTCAGACGTTCTCAAAGGTACTGATTTTAGATAAATTAAATGGGCCTGTTGCAAACTTTTGCTAGAGCAAAACTAAGAGTTGTCTCTTATAGATAATGCCTCAAAAATCACGATGAGCGCATCGGCAAACTCTGAAATGTACTCATAACTTCACAATCTGCGTAAGAAATTTGCGGTTTTTTGAGCTTCCCGCTTCAAAAACGATACTACGGCACAGGTGAACATTTTGTAAGAGGAGTCGTT